GCTGCGTGGTGCTTAGTTGCTAGCTGGGGCTAAACCACGACGCACTGTAAGAGATAGTGCTATTGCAGAATATGGATTCCTTAGCTGGCAACTTGCACTTCAGATAGCTGTGGATTTTCTCACTCATTAGTCCCAGAAAGCAAGCAGTGATTCTTTAGCTATGGCAGTGCCAGGGAAATAAAACAAACTGAATTTATGACCTACCCTCCTTCCCTCGACCCTGCTTTCTGGAAGAGAAACTTTGATTTCTGCTTCATTCAGTCTGTTTTTGTCTAAACGTGTATCACTTGCCACCTTTACCACATCTGTGTAAGGGGCAAGATTCTATTTAAAAGTTCAGTAACTAGTGTAAAGCACTGAAAGACTGAATGGAGACTTGCTTACTAAGTGATTAACTTAAGCACAGAATTGCATCATCACCTTGATATCTGGAAAGAAATGCTGGGGTCATGCTTGGCAGGAGTTAGTGCTCTTAATTTCCACCTAGACAATATCAGGTAATGGATTAAGTGATGCATGGGTTATCTCAGCCTTTGAGATAGTCTGTATTGCTGTCTTTCTGCCTACCGACCCATTTTTCTGTAGTGTTTCCCCAATGGGTGAGCACTGTATGTTGTCTTCAAGTTGCTTTCTACAGTACCTGTGGGTGTGGAATGGGGTATTGCAATCTAAGAGGTTTGCTTGATTTCTCTCTGCCATCTGTTTTGTGCTTAGGTGACTGCCAGCTGCAAACACCTTGTCGAATCCAGAAGTGCACCACCGATTTTGTATCCTTAACTTCACACCTAAACTCAGCTCTTGAGGGCTTTGATTTGGAGTTCTGCAAGGCCCTGCGAGCGTACTCTGCCTGTACCTATCGCAATTCCAAAGTATGCCGTGGAAACCTAGTTTACCATTCTGCAGTGCTTGGGATCAGTGACCTCATGAGCCAGAGAAACTGTTCCAAAGATGGACCTACATCCTCCACCAACCCTGAAGTGACCCATGATCCCTGCAATTACAGTGGCCACACGGAAGCCAGAGAACATCAGGGAGGGGAGAAGACTCCTCCTGATACTTACTTATTTTGTGGCTTGTTTGGTGATCCTCATCTGAGGACTTTTAAGGATCACTTCCAGACATGCAAAGTGGAAGGTGCTTGGCCCCTTATAGACAATAACTACTTATCAGTGCAAGTGACCAATGTGCCTGTGGTCCCAGGATCCAGTGCTACTGCTACAAATAAGGTATGAATTGTTCTTAACTGCTGTGCATGCATAAAAGTCCAAAACAGTAGAGTAAGTCGCTGAGCCCTTAACAGGTAAGAAGTGTAGCAGCTTGAGAATATTCCATGTGGTAGTCTAGGAAAGTAAAACTGTTAGCCTCTTTTCTGAGAATCAAACAAAACTTGAAACAGGTCTTTTTCTTCCTTCTGCTCCTCCCCACCACAGGAAAACCCCGTACATACCACCACATAAGCTTTTAAGGATACTAAATGTAATGCTTTGAAACAGTTACCAGATTGCAGCATCTGTGACTGCCTCTGCACTAAGAAGAAATTCTAGACAAGGAGCAAGGAAAGAGTATAAGTCTCTGCTTTTCATTAATTCTCTAAATTGTATAGTCATAACAGTAGAAAACAAAAAATACTGACAGAGTGGCACAGCAAATGAGTTACCAAGACACTGAGGGTTCAGAGCTGAGACAAGAAGGGGAACTGTGGAGAACTGAGGTAGCAAAAAACCTACACTGATGCCAGATGGTTGTCAGAAGGTCTTAGTACCCTGTCTTTACTAAAGAAGTAGCAGCCTGAAAATTCTGGGACTGTAAGTCCCTGTCCAGACAGGCAAGACTTAAGGTTGCTCTCTTCTCAGCCACTTGAGGTGACTATAGAAGGAATACATGTACTAGTATCGATAGCTTGTGCCATTTCTTTATCTTAAGAAAAGTTATTGTCTCTTTCTGTTGAAGGCAGATAGCAAGCATGTCTGTAGGAAGAAAACAAGGTATAAAGCATGAGCCTGGCTGATATGTCCTTAGACTTAGCTCCAGAACCAGGGGTGAAAAATGCTCTGAACTTTTGGGACTGTCTTTCTATCAATAAAAGAAATTACTGGAACATACATTTGAAGCTGATGCTGTCACATATCTCGTTCTCTTTTTGGAGCGAAATGGCCTTTTTTAACTGTGGTAGTGTAGCTAGCTCTTGTATTGTCAAGGTGTATCAGGCTACGTGTACATGGTTTCAAGACCATCAATATTGGAGAATTAAGCTCAGACGTAGGTTTTTTATTACCGGGGTCAAGAGCAGGGGGTGCCGGTCACAGTAGGTTAAAGCCTGCACATCATCTATGCAGACGGCTGTGCAGTAATATTAATAAGTGAAAATCAGTCTTGCTTTTGCATTTGTGGTGGATTCTGAGGTACTGACTAATGTCAATGCTTGTATAAGTGAGGCAAACTTTTGCATTTGCCAGAAGCCAGAGGTTGGACTGATACATCACTGAAATTCAGAATCACCTTTTCTAAAATTGTGCCTGTTCAAGAACAGTCTGCATTGTGAATGAATTCTGAAGGAGCATAAAATGAGGGAACGAGGCTAACCTGAGCAAGCTTTGCAGAAGAGACTTAGGTCCCTTGAAATCTGCTCCAGTGGTTTTTTTTAAAATACTCTTAAATAAATACAAGAAAAAGCTGCATTTCATAATCTGCAGTAAGCTTTTATCCTCAGTTTTGCTGAAGTCTTGCTGAATGTTCTTTATTTCCTTGTTCCTGGTAGTACTGGAGGAAAAAGTTGAGAGTTGTCTTGTGTACAAATTGTGTGGGTGGCTAGGGTGTGATGGCAGTAGATAAGTGATCTTGTCTTACCATTTAGCCACATCCTGAAAATGATTGACTGTGGTAGCATATTATGCTGGAATATGTCTTCTCAAACAGATAACCAAGAGGAGAACTTCAGGAGATAGATGTCTGTACGTATTGGGGGAAGGTACGTTTTAAAGGGCGTACCTTCTGTCTTTATTTATTCTCAATGTTTTTATGTTTTTCTTTGACTCATCATTCTGGAATAAAGTGGTAATACATTTTTCTCTTTTATAATAGTGGTTTAAGATCCGTGCTGTTGTACAAGTACAGCTAAGTGTGTAGAAACAATTAAATGAAATAAGATGCATGGTTTAGAAATTAGAAATGCCTCTAATGCTAATATGTTACATGTTGTACAGTCCTTGAGTTTTTTCTTTCTTTGTCAGGTAATCAAACTTATCAGCACACCTGTTTGTAGAAAATGAAGGTTGTTTGAATGTACAAGTAACTTAGCAAGATAAGTTTTAATCTCTCTAATGCGTCCTCTTGACTTCTGTATTTCTTTATGGAGCAGGCTGCTATAAAAGTTACAGAAAAGGCTTGTTAAACTGCACTACCACTGCTAGTTTAATTCCTCTAATATTTTTATCTGCAAGTGTTCCATTTTGGTTGTGGTGGTGGACTATCTGCTGCTGGGTGTACTTTCCTAATTTTGGCACAGGGTAGCTTAAGGCACCTTTGAAGAACTACCAAGAGAAGTTCAGTGACTTTTTTTCTACCTAGTAGTTTTTCCCTAGCTGAGAGCATGCAAATTGGTCTTCTGCCTTCTTTGTAAGAAAAGTTTCCAGAACATTACCTGTTGTTTTGCTGCTTTTTCATTGCAGATAATTGAGATAGATGTTTAATGGAAATAATAACAAAGGTTTGTGCTGAACTCAAATTGTACAGAAGCCAGAGCAAATACCAAATTGCTAACTAGCCTACTTAATCCACTCTAAAGCAGACCTGATGAAAGCAAAGACAAAAAGAGTAGAAAATTTAGTTTCTTCTGAATGCATGTTTTTAGGGGAAGTGATTTAAGAAGCTGTAGGAACAGAATATTTAATCTTCACCCCATACAGTGTGCTTTTGAAAGGGGCATTCCATCACTTGGCCTTGTAGGTAGTTATTACCTTCAAATTCATCATAGCTTTCTGGTATACCAAGCTTGAAGGAAATCAGCACTGAAGGGAACATTATGTGTAAAGTAAGTTGTCTCCTTTCTCCAAAACCTATGAGACTCCAGTAACGCCAGCAGTCTGAGGGCTATCCAGTAAGTTCATAAAGGACAAGAGAATGCCAGGAGGAGATTTTAAAAAAGAATGTGAAGAATAGAAGTGTTGCCCTGCCCTCCACCCCCAAACTGTGCATCTGGCAGGAAAGTATGAAAAGCACGAAAACTCCTCCTTTAATTCCTTAATTGGAAGGGTACGTCCTCTTGTGGAAGCTGTGTATGTATTCACAAAATGCTCTTGGCAGTTTGTCTGTAGGTGTTTTGCATATTTGTGATGCCCATAGTAACAACATCTGTTTCTTCACAGTGAGCAAAGCTATTGTATGTTCTATAAACTCCAGTTTTTTTGAGCTTGTCTGATGTGCTTATGCCCCTTGGCAAGAGGATCCTAGGGCCTTTCAGATGGAGGATGAAGGATCATCACAAAGTAGCTGGGAAACTGAGTTCAATCTCTGCTTTCTTTCTCTTTCTGACAGAATTCCTGTATGAGTTTTGAGTAGGTCACTGCCATCTTTATGTCTGATTTCTCCAGCTATAAAGAGCACCCCTGTCCGGGGAGCAGTTTTGCGATTTCTTGAGGATAAATGGCTATTACAAGGGGCAGGTAGGGAGCAGGTAGGAAGAGTATTGTAGACTGTATTAAATAGAAAGGGTTGTATTTATTGTGTGCTTTATTTGGAGGGCTACAAAGTCTTTATTGGCTTTCATTCCTGCGAAAACGTGTTCTGGATATCACTAGTGTAGTTGTCCCTGAATAGCAAATGAGGCAGAGATGCTTGGGCTTGCCTATGGAAAACTTTCCTTCTTGTTTGCAGTAATTGGAAATGGAGCTCTTCCTATCCATGTGTTTCATATTGGGTAGCTTGAGGGTGAGAGAGTGAATGGGAGGACAGGGAAGGAAACAACCACAGAGCTTACACTGTCGTGGATTTACTAGGCATAAAGCTTTGAACTTGGGAACTGGTGGTATTAGCTGGGTAGGGTAACATTGGGTATAAGTGTTCTTTTTCCCAGAGTCAAAACATTTAAATATTTCTTCTGCAGCATGGTTTCTGTTTTTGCAGGAAATTGTTGCAGACTGAACACAGTGTACATTGTGTCCTTTAAGTAATATTAAAACATTTGTCTTCCAGTTACCATTCAATTGTTCTAGGGTAGGAGCATCAGATAAGTGATCACGTGTGATCAGTTTTTTCATCTTTATGGACATCCTGCCTAAGGTAAAGATGAATGTGGCTTTATCTTTCAGAAGTAGTACATACTACAGTTTTGTTGGAGGACATCATAGAATCATAGAATGATAGAATCCTTTAGGTTGGAGAAGACCTCTAAGATCATCGAGTCCAGCTGTTAACCTAACACTGCCAGCTCCCACTAAACCATGTCCCAAAGTGCCGCATCTAGACATCTTTTAAATACCTACAGGTATGGTGACCCAGCCACTTCCCTGGACAGCCTGTTCCAATGCTTGATAACCCTTTCAGTGAAAAAATTTTTCCTAATATCCAATCTAAACTCCCCCTGACCCTCCTTAACTTGAGGCTGTTTCCTCTTGTCCTATCAATATTACTTGGGAAAGGAGACTGACACTCACCTTGCTACAACCTGCTTTCAGGTAGTTGTAGAGACTGGTAAGGTTTCTCGTGAGCCTCCTTTTCTCCAGACTAAATAACCGCAGTTCCCTCAGGCCCTCCTCATAAGACCTGTGCTCTAGACCCTTCACCAGCTTTGTTGCCCTTCTTTGGACATGCTCCACTACCTCAATGTCCTTCTTGTGGTGAGGGGCCAGTATTCAAGGTGCAGCCTCACCAGTGCTGAGTAGAGGGGAGCGATCACTTCCCTAGTCCTGCTGGCCACACTATTTCTGATACAAGCCAGGATGCTATTGGCCTTCTTGGCCACCTGGGCACACTGCTGGCTCATATTCAGCCAGCTGTTGACCAACACCCCCAGGTCCTCTTCTGATGAACCACTTCCCAGCCACTCCTCCCCAAGTCTATAGGGTTGTTACAACCCAGGTGAAGGACTCAGTACTTAGTCTTGTTGAATCTCATACAGTTGTCCTTGGCCCATCGACCCAGCCTGTCTACATCCCTCTGTAGAGCCTTTCTACACTCAAGCAGATCAACACTGCTGCCCAACTTGGGATCATCTGCAAACTGACTGAGC